TGCCGGGTCCTCGCTGTTTGGGCGCCGGTCAGGGGGAGGGGGGACGGGGGGGGGCTGCGGCGAAGATCGTGTTTATGTTGTTAGAGATGCCTGGGGGCACGAATGCAGCCAGGCTTATGAGGAGGTGAGACAGGGAGAGAGGAAAATGGAGAGAGTGGAAATGTTCTGTCGAAGGTTGTAGTATAGATCACACATCCCCCGAAAGAAGCGCGACACGTAGTCTAGGCCGCGTGTTGCGTATCTAGACACCTGGCGCTTGAGCCCCAACTTCTTGGAACTCTCAGGTTCGTACCTCATCCCTCCCCGCAACTCGCTCACGTAACCCCCCCCCCCTTCCCTCTCACCATTTTTTTTATATATTTACATAGAAGCGCTAGCGTGCCGGACGACGAGGGCGATGACGACGCCGACCCCAGCGGCCGCATCTCGTCAGTGCGGTCCACCCCGGGCAGCAGCGAGATGATGGCGGCCCCTACCCCCGGCCGAGAGTCGGAGGGCGAGAGGACCTGGATCATGGCCAAGCGGGTCGCGTCCAACTGGGAGAAGGAGGACGAGAGCAGCCGGAACCGCCTCTCTGCGCCGGAGGCTAGCCAGCCTTCCCCCGCGGTGCCGAAGACGTGAGTCCATGTGGTTGGGGTGGGTGGGGGTGGGCGTGGGGATGGGGGGGGGTGGAGAGACAGAGGGGGACGAAGGGTATGGCGGTAGCAGTTGTAGTCGAAGAGCATTTGCGCAGGGTAGTAATTGTTGGTGTGTGACAAGAACATTTGTCCAGGGTAGTAGGTGTTGGGCTACAGGGCCTTCTAGCAGTTTGATTGGCTCAGGGTAGTGTCGTAGTGTCGTGCTACCTATTCTGGACGTCGGGCCTTGCACCTTTCTCGGTACAAGTCAAGTCATGGAACTAGGCCAAAGAACATGAAGAGCATAATGGGCATATTTCGAGCATAGCAAGAGCCAAGAATATTGCATGATTGGCTCAAAAAGATAACCTGAAATTAACGGGGGGGGGGGGGAATGATGGGGAAAGGCCTATCAAGTGGTTGGGAAGGGGCTTCGTGTTTTAGACAGGGGGTACGGGAGGTTCCGTGAAGGGACGAAGGATATGGTAGTAATGGGTGTAGTGGAAGAACGTCTGTATGCTTCTATTTAGCAGGAGTAGTTTGATAGGTCCAGGGTAGTATCGGCATGCACGCATGTGGATGGTTCCTGTTTGCTCCAGAACAGAGAGAGGTGATGGTCCTTCCCCAATCCTTAACGGTCTGTCTCAACTATGATACCGCTAATCGAACGTGTTGTACGTACATGCACACGCTTTAGGTAGGTATACCTGGCTCACCAATGAAATAAAGACGGTGAGTTTCACGGCGGGACGATAACCAAGAACTCGCCTCTTGTTTGTCCTTTTTTGTGTGTGTCTCCCTGTCGTGCGGGGGTTCCGCAGATTCGTGTCTACCCGTCTGCGGCACCTCCGCCTCTCCCCCGACGGGACTACCCTGGTGGTCAAGTCCGAGCAGGGGGGCGTCGACCACGAGCTAGCGCTGGACGAACTCCTGGAGGTGCGTGGGCAGGGGACCCTAAAGATTCGGTTTTGTCACCCGTTTCGCTTTGATGCGCCTATAGACCTTAAGGGTCAGGTCTTGCGGCTCCGCTGCTGTAGGTATTTCTGATATTTTTTGTCTCGGCCCTTTTGGCCACTAAGTCAACCAACCAACTACCGTAGTCAACCCAATATTTATAAATGCGTGCATATCTTCGCACTCCAATACACGCCAATGTCCGACTCTTGCCCTCGTTGGTAGGGGCCGTCTGAAATGGTGGTCGCGTTCGGTTTTATGAGGGCCATCGTTTCGCTTTGATGCGCTTGACCGCTTTGATGCGCTTGACCGTTAACGGTCAGAGGTGCTGCTCTGCCATCGTAGCTGCTTTTGTTCTTGTTTCTCGGTCCCCTCAATTTCTATGGTCAATTTCGTGCTGTAACACACGACATGCGTCCGAGACGTTATCCCCATGTTGGAAGGAGTACGAAGGGTCGGTGCGAGGCCAACCACCTACCACTTACTCCTCGATCAACTCGCGCGTAACCCCCCCCCCCCCTACTCTAGGTTCACGAAACCCCCTCAGAGGAGAGCGTGACCCTCATGGGCACAGACATCGAGATCCGCATCGCGTTCAAGGGGCAGGCCAAGGCTCTGAAGCAGTTCCGCAACATGCTGGTGCCGACGGGCACGACTGGCACCACTACCCCCTCGGAGGTGGACGCTGACCGGTCCACGACTGTGACCACCATCAAGGACCCTATGGGCTCTTCGGGAGGAGGTGAGGACGCTCCTCTGTGTGTGTGTGTTTTATTTTTATTTTTTATTGTTAGCATCGACGGCGCTAACCGGCTTACCAATGAAAATACGTCACTCTTAGTGCGTTTGAAAACACAAAACTCTTCTAAATGCCATAAACTGGGACACCGTACGGGGGCGTCATGGGGGAGGCTAAGTTATTCTCCGGATCAAAGACAGCAACGGCAGCAACAGAAGAAAACTGCACGTGTCTACGAAGTGTGTGTATCTCTCTCCGTCTCTCTCTCTCTGTGTCTGTCTCTCTCTCTCCCTCGCTCCCTGTTTTTCTCTCTCTCCTTGCCTTCCTTTGTTATTCGTTGGGTGGAAGCACGGACATTCAAAACCGTGTAGCTTGTGTGGTGTGGGGGGTGCAAACTTCGAAAAACGTGCAACGCGGTGAATGCGAATGCCAACATCTGTGGTGTGTGTGCGTGTTTTGTGCTAGTATCAACCATTCGCCCGGCCAGTTGAAACACGCTATTCTGTAGTCTTACCAGAGGGACAAGAAACACAACGCTTTCGAAGGTAGGAGGTTGTCGAGACGGGAAAATATGACACAGTCCTTGTTCAGTTCTTTGAACGCACCCGTCTTCAGTGTAAGTGAGTGACCGTGTCTTCGAATTTCCTTGCTGTCTACTGTACGATGTCAATTCTCGCCGCCGCCACCGCCTCCGACCGTGCCCCCCTCCCCCCCTCCCCAAACAGCGGCACCCCCATCCCCAGCCGAAGAATTACAAGCCAGAGAAGCAGCAGCGGCAGGAGGGCCCTCTACCAACGGAGCCTATTTGGACGGCCGTAACACCGCTGGCAGCAACTACCAACAGCAGCACGGCCTGGGCGGCATCGATGAGGGCTCGACGTACGCTCGCGAGGTGAGTTGGGTGTGACGGTGTGTGTGTGCGGAACGGGGGGGGGGGGGGGGGGGGTTACCCCTAATCCTGCACGCCCCAATCCTTTGAACATTGACCCCCCATCCCCAAAAACCCGGGAACGACCAACCCGGGTTCCCCCCCGACCCAGCTCCCAAAACCCCACTCGCCAAACCCCCCGGAGGAAACGCCCAAACCCCA